ACACAGTCCACTTGTTTTAAAATAATATATTAAAACAAGTCAAATGTATATACAAATATTTGTTACACTGTTGGTTACCACAGTTTTATCCAGAACTTTAAATAACTCTCTTTTTTGTTAAAGTCCACACAGGCTGGTTCAATTACTTTAGTACACAACTGACAAGACCAGTTATTTCTTCTCTACTCTGTTATTACAATACAATCTGGGATAATTTCATATTATAAATCGCCACTATATGCTCTTTATGACTAAATTCACAATCACACAGTCTAAATCTATCTAACTAACTAACTCGAACTACATTTTGGACACATATTTCTAGTCCATTAGAGGCCTAGAATGTTCCACACACTACGAGACATTATGATGTAATAATACCCAATTAAAACAATGAGAAAAACTTAGAAGGTTCTAGTAACACACGGTAATACAACAATCACCAATTCACAATAATTGAACTACTCAGCGTATGATTCTAAAACAGTTATGCAAACAAAATTGTGATAAACTATCGCTTTTGAAAATAAAGAAATTTAATACCCATTCTATACTTAAACAGTCATGTATAACTAACAATAAGCCCCTCTTCAAGAAAATACTTACAATAATTTTTTATACCATATACAAAGACTGCTTTTGATTTATGCAGAAAGTCTACTCATACAGTCTGAACCAACATTTGCAGTCTTTTTGATGGCTTCAGTACAGAACCTGTAGCTCTGGAGATACAATGGCACCTCATGATCCTCACATTGTTGATTTTTTCACCTCTGGATGTATGCAAGGGGCTGATGACTCATCTGGATTATGATCTTCTTCCTGTAGAGGTATTTCTGGAATTTCTGAATGGCAAGTATGATTGCCAGATATTCATTTAATCACAGAGTAGTTCTTTTCACTATTACACAGCTTTTTACTGACATACATTACTGGAAACAATCCGTTTACATGTTCTTGCAGAAGTATTGTTAATTTCTAATGTCTCGAGCATCAGCCTGAACAGTTTGTTGAATTCTGGCATTCCAAGAATTGGTGAACTTCCTAATGTGTTTGTCACATTTAGGAATGCCATCTAGTGGTTGTTTCCATTTCACTTTGTTGGGTTGGCATTTCTTGGTCAGGTCAGTCAGTGGACACATATTTCTAGCCCAACAGAGGCTTAGAATGTTCCACACACTACAGACAGTATGATGTATTTAAAACAATATGAAAAACTTGGAAGGTTCTAGTAACATGTTGCAATAATGCAACAATCACCAGTTCACAGCAATTAATACTACATAACATATGATTCGAAACCAGTCATGCAAACAAACTTGCAATAAACTATTGTTTCTAAAAATAACTTATTTAACACACACACACACTATACTTAAACAGAAACAGTCGTGTATATCTAATATTCACTCTGTAAAAAGTCATGGTTTATGCTTATGCACTTAGACCCCACCAGTTGTCATGGTTAATGACAATTGGTTTATATGGGGTGTTTTGTAAAACTGTTTACAGTTGTGGACAAAAGTATATGGGCAGTTACAAAGAAAGAAAAACCACAGAAGTTATTTTTATTTCTAATTGTACAGTAAATTAAGGTAGTGATTGAGCTTTGTAGTAAAATGATAAATTATTACATAACATGCATAAAATGAAATATAGCATGCAAAACTAATTTCACACTTTGACAAAATTATTTGGGCAGTCAACATATTTTGCATGAAACCAATTTATTGCTAATTATTGGAAATTATCATGAGTGAGAAAACAATATGTCAAATTAATATCTACATAATCTTCAAGTGCTAAAAATTAATTTGGAAATTTGGGATAAAAAAAACACAACAAAAATGGCTAAAACCAAAGAGAACAGTAACAATTTTAAAATGGCAGTGACACAACAAATGTGAAACTACCAGAAAAATCAGACTGTGTATCAAAAGTCACTGTGTGGGATATTATTGACAAGCACAGAACTGGAATTACTGGGAATAGCTTTAGGTGTTGGAAACAAAGCAAGGTTTCTCCAAAAACTGGAAGAATTGTTCAAGCAGCTCAGCAAAATCCTTGGATTACTGTAAAAGACTTGACACAAGAATTGGAAGATGGTCAAGAAATGCAAAAGCAAACAATTTAAAGATGAATGTGCATGGGGAAAACCAGAATCAAACTTTTGTTAAAAATGATATGAAAGAAAGCGATTGGTGTTTTTCACTGAATACTTAAAGAAGCCCAATTTTTTCAACCATATCTTATGATCAGACAAATCTAAAGTATAATTTCATCATAGAACCAACAATGTGTTTGGAAGAAGAGTTTAAAAAACGTTTGTCATGTTGGTAAACATGGTGAGGTGTGTGATGGTAGGACCTTGTTTTCCTTTCTCAAGCTTTGGTGATTTCTGTAGAATCAAGAAATTTTGCACTCTTAAATTGTTACCTAGTAATAGAAAGCTTATTGGAAGAAATAATTACCCTTAGCATTATGCAAAGTCTACAAAAGAATTTCTTGGAAGACAAAATATTACAGTTTGTATTGGCCATCTCAGTCTATAGACTTGAGTCTCATCGAGATGCTGTGGATTGACTTGAAGGCTTTCCTATCAAAAAAGGAAACCAAGGTCAGTTGCAGAACCCATAGCTGGGTGTTGAAGAAATTGATGAAAAAATCTTTGGAAAGGTGTCAGGAACTAGTTTCAAATTACACAAAAACACTACAAGCTGTAACAGAAGCAAAGGGTGGCAACACAAAATACTAAAGAAGGGATAAGCAAATACTTTTGTTGAAATATGAAATTAGTTTGGCATGTTATTGAATATATTGTTTTATTATAAACCTGAATGTCTGCTTTAATCACCTTCTTCAATAGCACAATTAAAGATGATAGAAATTACTTACATTGTTCGTTTTTTTTTCTCTTTTCTTTAATTGCAAAATAGTTTTGTCTGTGATTGTATGTAATTGGGAAAACTCTGTAACAGATTGAAATACAGTTGTGTTAGTTAATTAGTTAAATTATTTTAGTGTTAAGGTAAATGTCAAAAAATTTGTTAATATTTCATAAGCTCAGAAAATAATACAAAATCTTAACTTTTTTTGAATTACTAAGAAAATGCTTGTTTCTATTTAAACTGTATTCTTCTAAAGTTGTAACCTATGTTATGAGTAATGAAGCACATAAGAATGTGTAAATAGCAAGAGAATATCTTTGAACATTTCTCGTGATAATGATAACTGATATTGAAGCCCTTTAGTAACTGGGTTCAAAAAATTGTTTTTCTACATCTTTTTGCTTAATGTAGGACCTGCAGTGGCTGAGTGAAGGATTAGAAGGCCGGTCCAATAATCCCGTGTCTCTTCTCTTTGATGCTCTCAACCATCCTGATGCAGACCTTGGTGTGGAGCAACCATCTGTATTAAGCTGGCATCATCAACACAGCCGACAGATTGACCATGTAGTGTTAGGGAAGGGGCCACCTGGTGGAGCATGGCAGGTAAAGTGTTTTAGTTGTAGAAGATGTAATATACTAGCACATGACAGCAGCTGCCTTTGTTTTATTGTAAGAGTTTAAAAATTATAGCGTGAAACTTCCCGATATATCAAAATTTCATAAGAAATACATAGTATATCATATAAATTTTCCATGGACATTTATCGCTTTTAACCCACAAACTACTACTTAATATACAAAGACCATTATGAGAGACAGAAGAAGAAAATTAATGTGCAGTGATATCACAAACAGATAGTTAATTTCAACTATCAATTATCTTGTATTTCTGAAATTTGAAGACAGAGGTTTGGACATCAGTTGTAAGTAACAACTAACACGTTTCTTTATTCATCAAAAGTTGTTTCATTTACATATTAATGCACTGCTTCTTGATAACCTGTTTCAAAGTCTTCAAAAAATGCATGATAATTAATTGTTTAAGTTTTAAGTTGGGAAAAAAGTTCAGGCTATTCTGAAAAATGTATTATAGGACTATGAATATATCAGATTAAATTTTGAGAAGAATAAAAAAAAAACTAACAATGAAATCAATGTATGCTTGAAGTGATTTACAGATGTCACTACCTGCAATTAACAATTTCATTTTCAAGTAAATGTCATTACAGTTTGCTACTGACCAAAAACTTTGTTTATTATATTTCATTTAACTTGACACATATAATGACATTAATATCACAATGTCTGTTACAAGGACTTTTTTTGGGGTGGGGTATAACTACCTTTTCAGTGATAACTTCTAAATAAAATAGTGTTTTGGAAAGTAGTAATATGCTCTATAAATTACTGAAAATTTGTTGTATCATGCAATATGTGATGCAGTTACGGTGTTTTCTTAGACAAATATTATTAGAATTGTACTAGACAGATCTTGTGTATCTTTAATTATGAATGTGTGCCGAATACATATTTATCAAGAGGAATTGTCTTCACATAAGTATAGTCATGAGTCATCAATATAATTTCAACAGCTGAAATAACTTATTTCAGTACTTTATGCATGTTTTTAGAACTTTGCAGCAACACTATTACAGAACATAAATTATTTGGACATTCTCCTGAAGGGGAAAAAATCATTTAGTTTTCTACATCCTGCACTGATCTTGTTAAATAGCCAACTTAACACTTTCCTAATGATGGTATTTTATATACAGATGTACAAGTATAATGTAATCCACATAATAATCAAATGGCAGTTGGAATATACTTACTGATAACTACAAACATTTTGTTTATATAAGTAGTTTTCAAGTAAACAGTGTTCTTTCTGTGAACATCTAGCTTATTGTATTATAATAAAGCACTATCCAATTAGAAGTGGATGAAACTGCAGTTTCAGTCATGTTGATTTTTTGTTAATTCTTATCCTTTCCTTTAGTTTGGAGGTTGCAGACACCTACTGATACACCTTTTGAAATGACAAGCTCATCAGTCTTAGAATGATGGTGTTTTTACATTAAGATACAAATTTGCTCCTTAGTCATTTGTCAAAAACCAGGGGTGCAAACCTTCTCCAAGTGAATGAACAATTTAAGAAGTCTTCAAATACTCCAACCTATTTTCCAGTATGTGAATGCATATATATGCAAAGCCCAGGTGGGGGGTCTGGGGGGCATAGATCCCCTGAATCTGATAGATAATTACATTTTCATAACCTTAGATGGGCTACAAATACAACAAAATATTTGTATTTTCAACTTTAAAGTGTGTATTAATAAATACATTTAATTGAAAAGGATTTAAATTTGGCACAGTTCAGAATTTTGTATTGGCTCTGCCTAACAATGTTTAATCAACATTGTTGCCTTCAATGATTATTCAAAATTAAGGTTTTGTGTTTTAGCATTTGCAAACAAACTAATTATGCAGTCTCTATCAAGTACATTTTTTCTGTGAACATGAAGTGGAGACAGGAACATCAGTCTTTTGGTTGTCATTGTTGATTTCAAATATGTCTTTGCTTGCTTCATGGTACTGAAAGAGCTCTCTGGGGCTGCTGTGGATGGAGGCATTGTCAATAAGACTGTAAGAATTGTGCCTATGTTTGGGTACAGATCTGAATTTGTGCAGTCCAAAGTTTCAACCAGTTTGTTGGTTTGTTTGTAGCAATTACCCATCTCATTTTCCACCTTGTAATTTCTTTAGCCAGAACATCCTTAGCATCAATGTCATCTGA